GTGCTGCAGTAGTGCAATGATCCAGTTTTAAAAGAGAAAATAAGCAGTAAAATAAGTGAAGCTTCCAGTGTGGTTCACGCTTGTAAATTATATTTACTATTACTATCAATAATAAATAATAGAAACCAATTATCTGGGCTGCTGAGATGCAGATTTAAAAGAAGAGCGCCCTCCAGTGGCAGAAAGGATGCTCAGCTGGTCTTTACGAGGTAGGATAATGTGTGAACATTGTGTTTTATTTGGCAAATAATCAGAACCCCGCATTTTTTTTTTTTAAGGGTGAGGCTTCAGTCATACATTCCTGGCTGCCCTCTTAATTTCTTTTATTCCCTTCCCCCCAATCCATGGTCACTCCTGCAATCAATAATTGAAACTTAGAGCTTAAACAAAATATGTGAGCCTAGCCAATATTTTGCTGAGAAAAGCAAACACTGGGACAAAGAAACACGGGGGTTTCTTCTCCTTCTATTTGTCCTTTTCCTTCCCCTATTCATCATTCAGTAGATATATCCTGAATTCTTTCTGAATTCTTATAAGTCTTTGGCAGCATTTTATTTCCCAAGGTTTTTGCATTTCAGCAAATGTTAAGCATCGAGAAGATACTGAGCATCTGGCCAATTCAACATTCATTCCTAAAATTTGAAATTTCAGCATTTTGCAAAAAAAAAAAAAAAAAGGCTTTCAAGTACGATACTGTATTGAGAATGAAAGTAGACATCCAGAAAAAAGCCAGTTCCAACACCGAAAAAACCAAACACACTCAAAACCCTTCTGAAGCCTTCCCCTTCTGCCACTTTCCACCCGTAAGTCCTTCCTTTTTTGGATCTACTTTCTACATGTTCTGAATGGCTCCAGAAAAAACAATGAGGAAAAAAAGTACCAGGAGAAGTGGGATCAAGTGATTTCTTCAGAGAAACCATGAATAGATAGAGATGAAGCAACAACCCCTGCTTTCTACTTCTATTAATGTTCCCCTCAATGCACGCACGCGCGCGCGCACACACACACACACACACACACCAAATCACTCTGTAGCTTGTTAGTCTGAAAGCAGACCTATTGCATTCCAAGTTTCTGTGCATGGCTTATGTCACAACAGATGCTACCACCTGGATGACTTGGCTCATCTTGAAAAAGCTAACCTCCGTTGAACCTGGCTACTCTTTGAATATGAGACCACCAGAAATTCACCCGTTCCAGAAGAAAGTGACACCAAGGCACTTTTCTACTATCCTCAACAAAATTGCATGGATGGGTCCATATAGCCAGCAAGAATTTTGCTCCTCTCAAGAGAGATTTTCCTTTCTTCTACAGGTCCTACATTTGAGATACTTTAACAATAATGTAATAATTGCGTTCTTTGGAATCTTGGGTAACTAGACCCAAATTTGAAGCGCTGCCAAATGTGGTATGCATCCTGTTTTTCTAAAGCCATTCTCTGCAGTCCGTTGCATGCTTACTTGGGAGTAAGTCCAATTTAACCAAGTGGGAGTTGTTTCCAGGGAAACACACACAAAAAATTGGCTTGCAAGGGATTGCTTTTTAAGGGAATTTTTCGAGCTCGGGTACCTGCTATGTTGTTCCTCTGTTACATTCTTCTTTACAAACCCAAACATTCAGGGACCTTATTCCAGATTGCATTGCCACTCTAGAACACAGTGGAGTGATAACAGAAATGCAAAAATGCTTTGAGGGGATAAGAAAAAGTGTCTCTGTGTGTCTGTGCATATGAATCCAGTTTCTTTTATGTTTTATCGCTACAACCTGCACATGCAACTTAGGAAACCCTGGTATAAATTTCCAGCTCCCTCTGCAACTTTCCCTGCCAAAGGCTAGTCTAAATTAATCCACAAATAGCATGAAAACTGTCCTGTGTTAGTTCTTAGCAAAGAATTTACAAGCCTCTTAGGAATTCATGGCACTCGGACACACTCAAAGACAAAAAAAAGTCAACTCTGCTCTGGTCAATCAGAGCAGAATAGAAGTGTAAGCAAAGGGAGGATTGAGAGGGTGAGTTCTGGTTGTCTGAAGCCAGTTTTGGACAGAGTATTTATAACAGGTGGCATTACCAAGCTGATCTTGAAAAAGTTAGCCAGGGTTAGATCTGATTAGCATCCTGATTAATTACTAGGGTTATTGAGCTGAGAGGAAAATGGAAAAGTCTTCTATAAAAAGGCAATGGTAAATTATTTCCATATTATTGCCAAGAAAACTATAGGCACCAGTAAAATCCAGAAGAAATTTTATCTTCTCATTGACTATGGTTTTCTCCTTCCAAAAAGTTAAAACTCCCAGACAGCCCCACTTTCCCCACACTCTTGGGACATTTTTTCCTACATAGTATACAGTTTGTAGAAGGAAATAACTCATACATAATTCCTCTGAATATGCTCTCAAACCTGGACAGAACTTGGGGGACATATTTCTGTGGATTTCTGATTTCCTTGTCTCCTCTAATAAATCTTTCTTGAAAAAAGTTCTTGGCTAACATTCCAGTATTCCAGCAAGAATGAGTCCTTGGTTTCTTTTCTGTATTTTTTTTTAAAAAAACTTCTATTGCAGTGTAGCCAAGACTAAGCCCTATTGAACTGATCTTGAATATTCATAGCCACTGCGCCTAAATCTGTTGTATACACACAGCTATGTCCACAACATAGCTTGAAAGCCCAATGTGGAAACCACATCACACACCCAGACATTCTCCCGAAGTAACCCCATTACAATACCTACAAGATGCCAACGAACCAGGTTCCCCTCTCTTTCAGTTGCAACAGCAAGATAGACACTGCCTATCCCCCCACCCAAAAAGTTGAAAGCAACCAAAATAAAGAATTCTTTATCATCAGTATCCTTGGCGGGGCGGTCACTCGCGTCTCCTTTTGATCATGCAAAGAGTTGGCAAGATAAAAAAAAAGAAAGGATCTGAATTTTAGACCAGACTTTCCAAAGCGATGGAGGGTGAGGATGGGTGAGAGTGGAGATGGATACACTAAAGCATGGAACGGACAACATTAAAAAAAAGTTAGACCAAGGTATGGGCAGGGTAGGGAGGATTATCAACAAGCCTGAGCTATGGTGCCTAACCTGGCCGTTTGGTGAAGTGTACTTCTGGGCACTATGAACAGACAAGTGGAGGTGCAGCCCTTGTCCACTGCTTGTAGTTTTCCTGAAAGTGTTTAGTTGGCCACTGCTGAACACAGGAACGGTCAACCAAATACTAGAAGGATCATTGCTAGAAAGATCCGGCAGATTTTTTTTTAAAAAAGAACTCAAACCAGTCTAAATGGAGATGGGTTGATCTACTCAGAAAGCAGCTGTCCATCTCACATCGCAGCCTACCACCATATGTGTACCAACAACTCCTTTTGTAAAGATGCAGAATAAGAAGTTGGGTCACTGCATTGCCCTCAGAATCCTTCAGGGCAGCAATTCAAGAGATGGGTGTGCCTCTCAAATTGGGTAACGCTGCTTATAAAAGGGATCCAGGCAGGCAAGCTGCTGCAGGTGCCATAAAGCATCATTCACTGCCTACCTGCCTAGGCAATATTTTCATGACACTGAAAAGAACAAGCCAAGCCAAACGCTCAGCCTTCCCACTGGGATCCTTAGCTAACTTTCTAGGAGAATAGCTTCTCATCACACCTAGTTCAAAACCCATCCAGTAGATCTTCTCTGTACAGTAGAGGTGTGTTTGTGTAAAAAAAATATTACTTTTATAAAGACTTTCAGATCACTACATATTCTGCTTGGAATACTGACAATTCCAAAGGGAGCAGATTGGGCATAGAGGAGAGAGAAGGGAAAATATCCCTTAGGGGCACTTGTATAGAAAGACCGCAAGGTTTACTTCTTCATCAGTATCACCAGCTACATCCTAAATCTATGGAACTGATTTGCTCCAAGACAGCAGATCTGTTACAAGGAGTCAGAATATTCAGCAGGGGAGCGAAGTTCCTAAACAAGAGAAATGTCATTAAGAGTGCGGGCGGTTCGTTCACCAAACAGCCCCATGGACGGATGCAAAATCCAAGAGGTGGAGCTGGGTTGACCCTCTGGATCCTGGGCAGCCAACATTTGCTTTGGCCCCTGAAATGGGGTAATTTTTCTGTGTTCCTACATGGAGAGTAGTGAAGAATTTTTAGCTGCCACTTACACTGAGAGGGACCCTCATACCTTGCAGGAGCCACTGCAGGTGAGGCTTTCTACCAGTGAATGCAATTCCGCTCTACAGTAACGGGAGCCAAGAAGATGTTGGGGTTCAAAAGGAACCCTCCAATTGGGTCTGCAGGTTCTGGGTCTGCTTCAGGAACCTGCTACACCTTCAGAAATGCTCTGATTCTCTTCCAGAACCTGCTTGCAGGACCCAAAGTTGAGTGCTGCATTTGGAAACACTTTTAGGGATCCACGTGAGCTCTGGTTGTCCTAGAGAGCACTCTGGATTTGTGTCTCCACATCCCACCTTCCCCCATCTCTGCCCTTCCTTCCAAATCATCCTGATTCACACAGCAGAGGTCTTGTATTATTATTATTATTATTATTATTATTATTATTATTATTATTATTA